TGAATCTAAATAGACACATGTTAAGGGCTACTGTATTGAGTAGCCTCAGTCTAGATCATTGTGTTTATAAACTATGGGTGATAACCCATTAGCTGGTTATAGCCTGTGTGTTTTTCAAAATAAAATAGAATGAAAATATCAAGAGGTATTACTTATAGTAAGCGTTATATTTTATTCACAAAACTTTGGTTTTAGTCTTTTACTGGTATTTCTGTCTACTAGGCTGCTATAACAATGTGTGGGTCACACATAGTATTTTAGTTTTTCAGTTTGTTTTTTAGTTGAGAGCCACTGATCTAGTGCTGGTAGTGCCCGTATTTATGCATTCAACCAAGAACTGAAACCTAAAGTTATATTTATCTATTCTCTTGATGCCTTAGCCCAGATGTCTAGTAGACATCTCATATCTATAAATCTTTCCCCCCTTCAGTTATCCCCTGTCTCAGCAAATGCCACTGCCTTTCCTCTAGTAACTTCTGACGAAGTTCTTAATTCCCAATCTCCTTTCCCCACTGCGCTCTACCCTCATTCAGCCCACCAGCAAGGTCTTTTGGCTCTGCCTCTGAAATGGATCCCAAATCTATCCACTGATTTCCATTTCAGTTTCCATCAACTTAACTCCAAGACATTGGCATACCTTGCTTGGACCATTGTAATAGCTCCACACTGATCACTCTTTCCCTCTTGTCGTCATAAAACCCATTCTTCATAAAACACAGCAGCCAAAGGGATCTTTTATTTTTTTATTTTTTATTAGTTAAGGTATTAAAAATGTGTCCTCATCTGCCCCATTAACCCCCAACCTCTCCCCCTCCCCCCGCACACTCATGCTCCCATCCCCCTGTTGTCCATGTCCATTGGTTTGGCTTATATACATGTATACAAGTCCTTCGGTTGATCTCTTCCCCTTACCCACTCCCTCCCCTACTTTCCTTCTGGGAATTGATAGCCTGATCACTGTGTCTCAGTCTTTGAATCTGTCCCAAAGGGATCTTTTAAAAGCCCAAACCAGATGATGCTCTTGTCCTTGAAAGTGGCTGGTGACTTTGCATTGCACCGAGAATGATCTCTCATCATCTAACTGTGGCCAACAAGGCCCTAGCATCTCTACCAGGGCTCCCACCATGCTGACCTTGGCTTTCCTTTACCAGGAATGCCCACTCTCTCACTTGTTTCTCTGCAAGGCCTCTGCATGTGTGCAGTGACCTAGACCACCATGCTGGCTTCATTTTGTTAATTCAGAGCTTTTTTGGAAGTAAATGAGATATGTCATTACTTATATAGAATACTAGAGGCCAGGTGCATGAAAATTCATACCTTGGATGGGGGCGGTCCCTCAGCTTGGCCTGGTCCCTCAGCCTGGCCTGCTCCCTCTCACAGTCTGGGAGGCGACCCAGTGATTAGGGGAAGGTGACACCCCCATCACACCTCTGCTGCTGCCACTGCTGGCAGCACAAGCCTCGGCCAGCCCTGGTTCCCTGAGCCTCTGGCGGCCCTGGGCAGCTGGAGGGCTGAGGGGACTGGGGGACTCCGGAGGCAGGTGCGTGGCAGCCCCAGTGGGGCTGATAGGACTGGGCGCCACCATCTTTGAGGGCATGGCAGTCAATTAGCATACTCCCTCCTTATTGGTTGTGGGCACCGCCATCTTTGTGATGGCATGAGGGTCAATTAGCATATTCCCTCTTTATTAGATAGGATTCTTGAGTAATAGAAACCAAGAGCTATCAGTCAGTATTTTTTATTAGAGATCTTTGAATTTTCTTTGTGAATCATGTGTAATCAATATAATCTTTGTTGCAAGTGGTGTTGTCAAGTTTCTATCTGGAGAATAAATACTGATCTTGCTATTTTTTAACTTAGTGAGCTGAGCATCTCATTATGCAAATTTAATGAACAGTTTAAACATGCACAATAGGTTATATTTAGTTATAGACATAAATTATGTTAATATAAAATTTAAAATGAGGCTTTTATTAATGTTAATATATCATAAATACAAGATGAGTTATTTATTTTAACTTTTTAATCACTCAGATTTTTACACATTATAACCAATGTTTTAAGGAAATTTGAATTTGATTTAAATTACCAAATTACTTGTGTCTTGAAGAAGAAATGTCTGTAGTTTAGGTTACATCATTCCTTATATGATTTTAGTCTTTATTTTGTAATGATCTTTATGGAAAATATTATTAAAATAGTGAAGGAAAGTTACCAGAATTATTAACAAGATAAATGATAGGGTTTGTAATTCTGACTTTTGCTTTAAAAAAAGAGAGAGAAAGAAAATCTTCACTTAAATGTTGAATTTTTCACAGCAGTCAGCTGAGTAATAGATTAAAAACAGCACAAAATTGAAATTGTATGTGCAGCCTCTGCATTGTTTAAATCACATAGTAAAAGGGCAATAGGAAATGCATTTAACTTTTCAAAATGGAAACTGACTATGTGGGAAAATTCAGCATTATTTTATCCTAGAGAATTCTTTAAATTAGATGAAATAGTGTTCAGAAACTGGAAACAGGACCTCATTTTGTTCACATGGATTTCATTCTGTTCAAATTTAGAAATGGTGGTGATAAAACTGCTTTTGTCCTTCGACCCACTTTGTGGTGGCTTTCCAAAGGGAATAATCCAAATTGCAGGCAAAGACTGATGCACAAAGATGTTGACTGTGGCATTGTTGATAATTTTGAAAAGCCAGGAGCCAACCAAATATCTATTGGGGGGGGGGGGATTAAGCAGATTGTAAAAATTAATTTTAATGGTTATACAATCTTCTATTTTTAGAAAGACAATTTAATGTTGTGGGGAAAAGCTCTGACATACTGCTAAATGGAAAGAAGGATATATTTATACAGTATGATCTTAATTAGGTAAAAAATACTTTCCATAGAAGAAAATATGTGAATAGTGGTTCATTCTGAGGAGTAATTGTTGCTGGTTTGTATTTTCAATTTTTTCTAGGACAAGCTCATACTGCTTTTATAATAGCAAAAGGATTATTAAAAAAGGAAATAGGTGTCTAATAGGATATGAAGTATTCAAGCTTATTGTGTTTTAGAGCCAGAGAATAGTTGCAGGCATCATTAGCGTGGGAGCTGGTGACTAAGGGCTGTGATTGGGGTAGGAGACTGTCTGAGAGCTTAAACAGTGCAGAGGCATAATGCAGGGGAAGGTTCTTCCTGTTTTTGCTCAGTTCTGCATTGCTGGGTGTCACTTGCTGATCAGAGAAAGTCTGACTGCTGTCCGCCTTGTCTTTGACAAACACAGATAGGAAGGCAAAGTCATTATCTAATAAATGTGATCTATTTAGTAGCCAAATATTTTTGTGTGAACACAGACTTTGAGTTTTATTTCATTGCAAGCGAGGCAACCTATATGTGCACATTCTTTTTCTCATCCAAGTTCTTTAACTGCTGAAATTGCCCTTAAAGAGATCACAAACATTGTAAAATGTGTTTAATTACTAATTCATTAAATTTTCCTGTCATTTGGTACCAAATATTTTAAAACATGAGGCAACAGTGAAAGATTCCTGATGCTGTAAATTGGAAACCATTCTAGATGGTTCTTCAGTGTTTGGGTTCTCAGCCATGAATCATGAAATCACTTCAGTGGGTCTCCCAGCATTACGTTGTAAGTGAAATTAGCATACATGGAAAATATAGGGTCCATTGGGTATAGTAAGTATGAGTACTTTACATTTTTATTGTAGGGGTGTGTTTATATATGCTGGATTGTAAATGGAAAATGTGTGTGTTCTTAAAATGATGATTTTCAGTAAAAAAAAAAAAAAAAAAAAAAAAGTCAAAAGTCTTGTGACATAGACCAGTGCTTTTCAGTAAGATCCCAAGACCAGCAGCATAGGTGTCACCTGGGAGCCTGTTACAGATGCAGATTCTCAGGCCCCACCCAGACCTACTGAATCAGACACTCCGGGGGTGGGCCCAGCACCCTGTGGTTTAACCAGGCCCCCTGGCCATTCTGGTACATGCTCAAATTCAGAACCACTGGTCTCGCCCTGCCTTCCTGGGTGTGGTCCGGAGTCTAACACTGGCATCACCTGGCAGCTCGCTGGAAATGCAAAATCCCAAGCCCCGACCTGGACCTACAAAATCAGAATCCACAGGCTTCAGGGGTGATTTTTATGCTCAGATTAAAGGTTTATCAAAGGTTTGGAAGCACTGATCTAAGCCACATAGGCCTTCAGGAGCCAAGTAGACAATGTCAGTGAATGAAGGCAGCCTGGACTTCTCCGTAAAGAGCACAGCCCGTCCCTGACTTATGATGGTTCAACTTATGATTTTTCTACTTCACGATGGTGCAAAAGTGATAGTTTAGTAGAAAATATACTTGGAATTTTGCTATTCTCCCGACTAGCGATACGCCGTATGATATTCTCTCATGATGCTGGACAGCGGCAGTGAGATGACTTTGCCCAACTGTAGCTACTGTTAGTGTTCTGAGCATGTGTAAGGGATGCTAGGCTAAGCTATGATCTTCCATAGGTTAGGTGTATTCAATGCATTTTTAACTTACAGTATTTTTCCCTAAAATATATTTTTATAATTTCAGAGAGGAAGGGAGAGGGAGAGAGAGAGAGATAGAAACGTCAATGATGAGAGAGTATCATTGATTGGCTGCCTCCAGCATGCCCCCGACTGGGGATCAAGCCCGAAACCCAGGCATGTGCCCTGACCAGAATTGAACTGTGACCTCTTGGTTTATAGGTTGACACTCAACCACCGAGCCACACCAGCCAGGCTCAACTTACGGTATTTTCAACCTGAATCCCTTGTATGTCGAGGAGCATCTGTGTAGCAATTAGAAGGCATTGTTTAAAAATGTCCTGCCTTATATCAGTTGGGGTTAATACATCCAAACAAACTCATCAACTGAGGTTAACTTCAATTGACATCAGTTACTTCAAGCAGATTTTTCAACCCACATTTTAATAGAGTGAGCCCCTCACATTAACTTCTTCTGATCTCTTGTAGGAATTTATCAAGGAGCTGCTTTCTCGGATAAGAGGCATGAGGAAACTGAGCCCCCCGCAGAAGAAGACTGTGTAATTCTGCACAGGGTGGCACTGCCTGGAGACCAAGACTGGGTCCCAGGAACTGGACTTTACTCAGACTATTTCACTTTTTTCGGGGAGGGGGCATCTGTTAGACATTTATTCAAGAGCGTTCTGTTTTTTTGTTTTTTAAAGGTTTCATTAGTGTACTATTTTAATAGCAAAGATACCACTCTGGTTTCAGCCCAACCAGGGATTGTCAAACCAGACAGACATCCAAGGATGGGCTGGGCTAGGCAGTATTTTCTTCGAGAAATCCGATGTTGATGACCTAACTATACAGGGATGATGGTTTGTTTGTTTTTTAACAACTAGTTGGATAATCCTTCTTTCTTAAGTTCTGCATTTGACTCAGACGTCGAATTTCTCATACTTGTATATATCTACACACAACAGAGTTCCAGCGTAGATGTGAGCTTTATTTCACATTGATGAAATGAACGTGTGGTTGTCCTTTAACTGGAGGTCACAGCACGTGTGTTGGCCAGAGGCCACTAGGTATTCTTCATGTGAGTGCTGCTGACCTCCAACATCCGCTTTATGCACCAAAGTGAAAGAATCCAGTGTATCCGTTATTTGAATGAGCTACACTACAAAAGTGTTGAGTTGGTCAAGGGCTTAATTTATGGACTTTCTATTATTTCATTCATTGGGATGCTTTGCCAGGTCGTGTACTTATTGCCTCATTTGTGGTACTTTAAAGTTTTACGAATCCTTCGTTGGAAGAACTACTGGGATGTCTAGAGAGGAGCCCTCGCTATCTGAGCAGTGTTTTCTGTGGAAAATGGGAGCACTGGGTAGTGATGAATTCTCTGCTTTAACCCAAGTACTGTGTAATATTCTCTCCATGAAAGCAGGTCAAAAGGAAGCCAGCAGATTATGCATCTCCCTTCTTAGAACTAGGTTCTGGTCACTTCTGTGCCTGGGCAGCAGCAGACCAGAGGGGGTACGCTCAGTGGTGAGCAGAGGGAGAGGTGGGGAAGCCTCTCCTGCCCTCAAGAAAGTTGGTAGAGGAGCATTGGCTGGTCGGGAAGCTCGGTGGAGAGTGCATTTCTGGTTTCTCTAGTGGCATATGGTGAGGACTCTGGCTCTAGGCACCCTAATTCCCTTGCCTGGAGCTAGGCCTGGGGCACCTGCCCTGCCCCTCTTAGTTACACACCGGCTCCTTGGGGGAGGCTCAAAATTCAGATGGACTCAGGTGGAGTAAAAGGTCAGAGTAGGAACTCTTGCTTCCCTCCAGGAGGTCCCACTGCCTCCCCACAGAGGCCCCACCTACAGTGAGCTATGTCTGGGAGGGCCCTGTCGGAGCACAGGGGTCAGGCATTTTCTATCAAGGGTGCTTTGAACATATTTTATTTTTTAAAAGAACTATGTTTGTGAATTTTATGTATACTGGCAAGCTTTTGAAAATGTATTTAATTTTGTAATGTTTACCAATGATTTCTTTACAAGCTATTTACTCAAATAAATGGAGCTGCTTACAACTCTGCTCACTGTTTGCCTCATAAAATATGGCCATGTGCTGACTTGACTCTGTCAGGCGCTCTGCAGAGGAGGGGCCAGGCTGCTGTGCCCAGCTGTTCCTTCTCAGGCATTGGGTCCCAGGCCTCTTCCGATGAGGGCAGCGGAGCTGGAGGACCTTCCGGGGTTGAGAAGGAAACAGAGGGTGAGTTCTGTGCACTTGGTTCCGCCTGCCTTCTGTTCCAACCCTCTCCTCGGCCGTGCCCCTTCATCTTATTAAAGCTCCCCTTTACCAATCTGATATAAATCCTCAAGAAGATTTCAAATTAATCAGGTACTCCCATTACCATGAGAATGTCGTGCACCCTGTAAATACAGAAAAATGCAGGATTTGTACGATTTTCCTTAGGCTTGACCAGCCCAAGTTATGGTCTTCAGATGAAGCAAGAATGAGTTTTTCCTCCTAAGGCCTCTGACCTGGCCACAGAACACACTCCCGCCTTCCCTCCCTTCCTTCACTCAGGGCGTGACAACACCTGATGTCCCCTGAGCACTCAAGCCACAAGCGTGGGCCTCGTCTGACTCCCATCTCTGTCCCCAACATACCCCCAGTCACTGTGCTCTTCTTCCCCTAATATCTCTCAGATCTGTCCCTTGTGAACCCTTGCCTTGGTGGCTGGAACCGTTGGAGTTGGCTTCTCCATGTCCAGTCTTGCCTCTCTCTGATCTGCTCTCCACCGGTAGCCAGAACAATCTTTCTGAAAGCCAGCTCTGATCATTCTATTTCCCTACATAAAATCCAAGCATTGCTACATTTCTTACAAGGAATTGGTCTCTGGCTCTCCAGCCCCACCTCTCGGCCTTGCACTAATGGCTAGTCTACTGAGTTCTTTGGGATATCTGGAATGTTCTATGCATTTTCTCCTCTGGGGCTTTGCAGAAACTATTGCCTTGGTCTGAAACCTCCTCTCTGCCAGCAGGCTGAAGAGCTTCCAGTTTGAGCCCTCATGGCACGTATCCACAGTACTGTTACTGTCAGTTCCCCTGTTCTTCTCTTCTGTTAAACTAGAACCCTTGAGGTTGGGACTGGATTTTATAACTCAAGACCTGGTCCTGTGCTCGGTCCATCAAAGGGATCAATATGTGTTTGCCAATGGAATAAATAACACAAAAGTTTCTTTAAGAAAACTCAATTGTTTTCTTCACAGCTGGGAGAGTGGTTCTTAGACCTTAATGTACATTTGTTTCATGCGGGAAGCTTTCAAAACTGCTGAAGCCTAGACCCTCCTGCTGACCATTTTAATCAGCAGCTGTAGGAGCAGATTTTAGGCACGCGTCTTTACTCGCTCCCGGACTGAGCACCCCTGGGCCACTGGGTCATTCTTGTGTCGCCTGATGCGTGAGTTTGACCTCGACTCACCGTGTTTGTGCTGTTACAGCAGGTGGCAGCTATGACATCAGCATGTTGACTATTTCTCATTTTATTTTCTGCTGGAGAGGAATGAAAGCACAGCACCGGGGGATGACTCCTAAGTTCCAGCTTCTAGTCCAGTGCTCCTTCAACACAGAATCTAAGGTTAAACTTTACCAAGTGGCACCCATTCTCCACAATAATAATAACAGTTCCTGTTTATGTATCACTGTGCTAAGGGTTTACCTGCCTTATCTCATTTAATATCAACATTAATGTTACCAGGTATATTGCACAGTCTTCATTTTACAAATGAGCTAACAAACTAGGAAAGGTTGAGCAGCTTGCCCGAGGTCATGCAGTTACAGAGCTGAAATGCAAACCCACACCTGTTTGACTCCACACCCCTTGACCATGAGGCTTTCCTGCCTCTCACAGGGGCTTAATTTTATCCTCACTCACAGGAGTGAAAGCCATGAGCTGCATCTGATGTGAGCTGGGCCCCCAAGCCTGTGTGGGGGGGTTGGGGTGCTCTGTGATTGGAGAGGGTCCCTGGCCACCTGCTGGTTCTTCCTCACCCCAGGGGCTCCCTGCCCCTGAGCTGCAGTGTAGCCGGCTCTGTGCTGCTTCTCCCCTAACAAAAGGCTCCTGATGTGGCCGTGGCTGCTGAGCATAGACTATCCTTTCATCAGTCTCCTGAGAACGCAAAACTGGGAGAAAGAGTGGCTCAGGGTAAGGTGGTTTGCAATTCCTGTAACGGGCAGGTATCTGATTTTCATGTACCGCCTAGAGTCCCCACGAAAGGTTGTGCAGAGTCAGCTTCTCAACAATAGGTGAGTATGTGATGATACCTGGCTCTTCCAAGATGATGCAGTGGTTGGAAACATGAGGTCTTTTTAAAAACAAAACAAAACAAAAAACCAAAAACCCTTTTTTATTGATTTCAGAGAGAGGAAGGGAGAGGGAGAGAGAGATAGAAACATCAATGAGAGAGAATTATTGATTAGCTGCCTCCTGTACACCTGTACACCGCCTAATGGGGATTGAGCCCCAAATCTGGGCATATGCCCTGACTGGGAATCGAGCCATGACCTCCTGGTTCATGGGTCGATGCTCAACCACTGAGCCACACCAGCTGGGCACCTGAGGTCATTTTGAGCCATGACTACCACTTCCCTACCACTGACTGAAGGGGCCCAGGCCAAGACAGAGCCAGACTGGCCCAGGCACTAGGCCTACCACCTGGAGAAGCAGGTGGGAGAGGACCCCTTTGCCTTTCATAGTGCAAGAGAGGCTGCAAGGGGGAGCCAGACGCTTGCCCTGTGGCCTAGCTCTGCGCTGGACTGCTCCACATCAGCCTGCTGGGATTGAGTCTGTCATTCTTTATGCATCTTCATTTTTAACAAAAAAAAAGTTTTAAAAGTTAAAAAAATTAAAAATTTTTAAAATAGAAAAAAAGCTTATAGGATAAGGATATAAATAAAGAAAATATGTTTGGATAGCTGTACAAAGTGTTTGTGTTTTAAGCTTAGTGCTATTACAAAAGAATCAAAAGTTTAAAAAATAAGTTTATAAAGTAAAAATGTTATACTAAGCTAAGGTTAATTTATCATTTAAAAAAGATAAATTCTTTATAAATTGAGTGTAGCCTAGCCTAAGTGTACAGAGTTTCTGAAGTCTCCGGTGTGTACAGTATGTTACAGGCCTTCATACTCACTCATCCTCACTCACTGACTCACCCAGAGCAACTTCCAGTCCTGCGGGCTCTGCTCATGGTAAGTGCCCTCCCTATACAAGTGTACCATTTTTATCTTTTAGTCATATTTTTACTGAACCTTGTTTATGTGTAGATACACAAATATTTACCACTAGAGGCCCAGTGCACAAATTCGTGCATGGGTGGGGTCCCTTGGCCTGGCCAGCAATCAGGGCCCTCTCGCCCAGTCCCAATTGGGTGATTGGGTCTGGCTGGCAGGGGGGAGGGACTGTGGGAGGTTGGCCGGCCATGGGAGGCTGGCGGTGGGAGCGCACTGACCACCAGGGGGCAGCTCCTGCGTTGAGCATCTGCCCCCTAGTGGTCAGTGTGCGTCATAGCAACTGGTCGACCAGTTGCTTAGGCTTTTATATCTATACTAGAGGCCCGTTGCACGAAGAAATTCATGCAATAGGCCTTCCCTTCCCCTGGCTGCCGGCACTGGTTTTCCTCTCGCACCCGGGACCCAGGCCTTCACTCTGGCTGGAGCCTTCAGTCTTCGCTCCGTGCCTACATATGCAAATTAACCACCATCTTTGTTGGGTTAATTTGCATACTCTCCTGATTGGCTGGCAGCATAGTGGAGGGATGGTCAATTTACATGTTTGTCTATTATTAGGTAAGATAGATTGTGTTACAATTGCCTACAGTATCAGTACAATAACATGCTGTACTGCTTTGTAGCAATAGGCTACAGCTTACAGCCTAGGTGTGTAATAGGCTAGACCAGTGGTCAGCAAACTGCAACTCGGCAAACTGCGGCTCGCGAGCCACATGCACCTCTTTGGCCCTTGAGTGTGGCTCTTCCACAAAATACCAGCTCTTCCACAAAATACCGACTTCTGCGCATGGGCCACAAAGTTTCAATCGCACTGTATGTGCACACCCACACGTGGTATTTTGTGGAAGAGCCACACTCAAGGGGCCAAAGAGCCGCATGTGGCTCGCAAGCTGTGGTTTGCCGACCACAGGGCTAGACCATCTAGGCTTGTGTAAGTGCATTCTATAATGTTTGCATGACTATAAATCACCTAATGACACATTTCTCAGGACCTATCCCTGTTGTTAAGTGACACATGACTGTATACACTTGATCATATTTATATTTTCAATTCAGTGTTACCATTGTTGGGAGAAAATTCTATATGGGTCCCTCATGTTTCTGCATGTTTGTGAGCAGAGACTACCATAGTTCTGAATAATTGTTTTATGTATGTATAGCAAATAGCCTTGGAAGATATAGTTCAGGGGTCCTCAAACTTTTTAAACAGGGGGCCAGTTCACTGTCCCTCAGACGGTTGGAGGGCCGGACTATAGTTTTAAAAAAAACTATGAACAAATTCCTATGCACACTGCACATATCTTATTTTGAAGTAAAAAAACAAAACGGGAACAAATACAATATTTGTATTTGCATGTGGCCCGCGGGCTGTAGTTTGAGGACCCCTGATATAGTTTATCCCTCTAAGGCAGTGATTTTCAACCAGTGTGCCCCAATAATTTTAAAAATATGCATGTGCTGTGGCCTATCAGTTGAAAATTATTGCTCTAGAGCAGCAGTTGCCAATTGGTGGTCCGCAGACCACTGGTGGTCCATGAGGTCTGAAAGGTTGGCGACCACTGCTCTAGAGCAAAGAGCAGGGGAGCTTACTGCCCATTATAAAAGATGAGGGTTCCCTAAGTTCAGAGTTCTTTCTCCTGTAATGTAACCCACGGCATGTGCAGCTGTCACCTAGCCTTCTTTGCAACCTCCTGTGGGAATTGGGACTTGAGAAATCAGTGCCAAAATACGCTGCTATTCTGGCTACTGCTATTTCTGTGAGTAATAAACCGTCCTTTCTTTGTGACCCAGGACTGTTCGGTCTTCTACAGGCAGCATCGATGATGCTGTCGCAGGCAAACTTGTCAGCTTGTGGTAGGGTCCCACTTCATAGCCTGCACAAGTTTTGACAACGGTCAGTCTTCTCAGTCTCTTTTAGTACGACGTGTATCACTCTATAGCGAGGAGATACCTTCTTATATTTAGACCCTAACTCAACTAATCATTTTCAACTATTAGGGTCAGAAGTTCCCTTTAAAGGGATCTATGCCTGAAAATGGTTGTTCTGTGGACAGAAATTACTTTCACAAAAGCCACTTTCTCCCTTCCTCCTCATCAGCAGCTAAAAGGGAATGCTGCCTGGTGGAAATCAGGAAAAATGAGTGATAGAAGAGAGACACACTAAATTTACAGAAAAATGACACCCCAGTGAGGTGGAGAAGACAGGCAAATGGCAATTCTTGTCACACATTTTTCCCTTTGAAATATGTGCCTAAGTAATACATGTAGCACATTATCACTTGCTATTTTGAAGTTTCTAAATTAAACTCCAAAAGCAGTTTTGAGGCTAATTTATTGGCAGTATCACAGTCCACCCAGTGGTAGCTGAAACCAAAAATAGAAGTTGAGCTCATGGAATATCTGGTGTTACCAGATTGGTTCTCGTCAGGTCGAAAAGTGATCTATATAAAGTGTGACCCCCACTTACCCTGTGGGTCACAAGTTGCTGTGAGTGATTTACCATCTGGTTTTTCTATTGTTGGCGACAGGTGCTGATTAGACTTATGAAAAGGGGACTCAAACTCTCTTTCTGATAGCTCATGGAAAGGGGATAAATAAGATAAATATCTTTAAAAATATATCGTATAGCACTTAGCACAGCACCTCACTTTCCAGCTATAATCCCAACACAGGGGAACAAGATTACAACCTACCATGTAGGCTGGTGTCACTTTCACAGAATACTCCCAAAGCTGTGAAGAAGTGCATCTTTCTGAAATTGGTGATGAGTCCAACCAAAACTCTCAAACAGTGGGTTGTTTTTTTTTAAAACCCTTTAGAATGTTATTTCTATTTCAAGCATGTGTGCTCCTTTTAGAGCTGAGAACTCCCTGCCTCGATCTTTAAACCAGGGGTTCTCAGAGCTATGGCTCAGGCAGCTTTAGGGGTCCTCACAACCTCTAAACCTGGCAGGAGAGGGGACAGGTTGCAATAGAGCCACAGGCGGAGCCTCAGAGAGAGCCCGTGTGCCGAGGAGAGAGTGCCAGAAAGAGAGAGACAGGAGAGTGGCAGACAGAGACTTGCAGAGGCCTGAACATTTCGGAAGGAGTGGGTAGGTTCTACCCTCAGGCTCTCCAATGTTCACACCCACGACAGGGAAAGAGCCAGGCCTGGGACTCTGGAGGCCCTGCCAGGCGGGAAGCCAGGCTGCCGGGTGCCCCTCCCAGCAGGCCGCCCTCTGACTTCTTGGTCTGTTGCCGTCATTCATCTGATTCTGCTCAGCCGCACGTGTGAGACCAGGACGCTCAGTGGAGTTGACAGCACATCCCAACTGTGAGGCCAGAATTAGGAGGTGTCGCCAGAAGCCCGACTGGAGTGCCTGCCGGTGAGGGACAGGTGCCTGCGCCCTCAGAATTCTCCGGCTCTCGAAGTCCAAATTAGACACGGGGGCCTGAAACACTCATGTTTTCACCTTTGTTGTCTGTGTATTACACTTTCTACTTCTTAATTTTGAAATGTGTTTTTGTCATTTCTCTCTCTTGGGGTCATATTTGGCTGCGGGTGAAGGTCGCAGTTGAGCAAAAATCCCATATCCAATAGCCATCCCAGAGGGCCAAATTATTATTTTTTTTATTCATTGATTTGAGATAGAGATAGAGAGACATCAATTTGTTGTTCCACTTATTTGTGCTTTTTTATTTTTTCCATTGATTGGTTCTTAGATGTGCCCTGACTGAGGATCGAAACCCCAATTGAGTGACCTGGCCAGGGCCCAGAGGGCCAAATTCAAGGTTCAAAGAAGGAGAAACCCATCTAAGGAGGCACCCATTTCCCCAGCATTTCTCAGGGCCTAGGTTTTTAAATCAAGGGCGAGGGTATGGAAGAGCATCTTTAATTAACGCTGCAGCCAGCCCCTCTGGTGCTTTGTGCTGTGCTCACCTCTCAGGCACCGCCAGCCAGCAGAGCCCCTCCTCCGCCCCAGGCTTGATTTGCAGGTCTTGCTGTTCTCTGGCAGCACCAATGGGTTTGTTTCTCTCTGGAAGCTTCCTTTGTTCCCAGCCTTAGGCTGCATTCTTCTCTCCCAGTCTTTGTGGTGAGCCCGCTGCGGCCACAGCTGGCTCTGTCCTCAAGCCACCCAGCTGCCTGTCTCCACCTGCCTGTCACCACCCCAACCAAGGCCACCACTCCTGCTTCTGCTCCGAATCTGTCTCCACTTAAAGTATTTTAAGGAGGACGTTGACCTGCATTTCCTGCTGCTTCCGGAAAGCAGCTTACGGAAGCGATGTTTCCTCCTTCAGACAGAAAACCCCACGTTTAAAGGACTTCTAGACAAAGAGGGGAAGAGCCCCCTCAATCAAACCCAGACCGGCTGACCTTTCCCCTAAAGCAGTGGTCAGCAAACTGCGGCTCACGAGCCACATGCGGCTCTTTGGCCCCTTGAGTGTGGCTCTTCCTAAGCCTTAGGAGTACCCTAATTAAGTTAACAATGTATCTACCTATATAGTTTAAGTTAAAAAAATTTGGCTCGCAAAAGAAATTTCAATCATTGTACTGTTGATATTTGGCTCTGTTGACTAATGAGTTTGCTGACCACTGCCCTAAAGGGATTAGAAAAAGTCAGCTAATTTTTAAAATCTTCATCACTTGATAAATTAATCTCTTGAAAGGGACCAGAAAGTATAGAATTTCTTACATATGATCCATATATTAATTTTAAAAAGACTTTGGCTTCCTGGGACATCTATTTAGAGTAGATGACTTAGCAGTAACTTAAAATCATAACAATAAAATGCTTATGGTGTACAAATAATCTAAGGGATAATATTGAAATATCTATATTTCTCTATATCGATATAAATATAACTGCCAATTGTCTGTTTATGTGTCATGCAGTTTTAGAAGTGAACCATGGTCATTAAGGCTTTTGATTTTTATGATTATGCAGGGGGAACACATGGGAAATGGAGGGAATCCTGGAAGACAAAGAAAATATTGACACAGAACCGTCCTGAAAATACGAAAGTATGACAGGTCTTGTGGGGGGTGAGTATGAATCACATTTGTCATGAAAAGTATATAGCAAGGAGCTTTAAGAAAACAGGGAAATCCCAGACTCTGGGCAGTGGGACTTGGCACAAGCTCAGAGCACCTTTTAAATTAAAATTATAATACTGGAGGAGTGGGCTGTCTGCTGGAATCGAGGAGAAAGCATTTTATTCCCAGAATTGGTTTGTTGGCCTGGATGACACTTGGCATCCTGGAGGACCAGGGAAATACTAAAGTGCCCCTGCCCGCAGGCAGGGTGTCACTGGGCTCCGTGAAAGCCGATAAAGAGAATGGGTGGAGTCAAGGCTGCCCAAAGCTCTGGTGAGACCTGGGTGAGGAGCAAACGGCCAGTCCCACCAGGCTTCGAGGCTTCGGGAAACTCAGCAAAAGCAGCCGTTTGGCTCAGTGTTGTGTAAACAGGGAGATACCCGCAGCGAGTCCCAGACGGGCACAGAGAGGAGGGAGGCTGTGGGCAGTTTTCAGCTGCCTTGTTCACACCCCTCCACCCTGCACCCCTGAGAGCACGCAAGGGGTGTCACGCTCACAATCACATACTCTGTGTGGTTACATCAGCATTCTGCACTCCACATCTTTCTCTGACCTTTTTTTGTGTCTGCTGACCCATGGGCACCAGCAAGGTGGTACTCCTCGCAGCTGACACCTCCTAATGCAGAAAACAGCAGGCACATCCCTGAAGTCCATTTCTGCCCTGTGGTAGGTCTGGCGGCTCCCTCCCTGCCTCTCATGTCACACAGAGGCCTGCTCAGTGCTCAGGGACACCCGACACAAACTCCGTGTGGCCTGGGACAGCAACTTCACCCACCGCAGGGCTGAGGAGCAGCCACACTGCGACAGGTATGGCAGCTCACACACCTGTTCGCTGTCCTGGTCATGCGTCTCCTAAGGAGGTTGCAGGACTGATGGAAAAGGCCTCCCTCCCTTCTGTCTCCATGGCAATAGTAAGCTTGTAGGCCGTGCCTGTCTTCCTCTGTCCTCCTCAAGCCAAGCAAGGACAGCCCTCAGCAGAATATCGATTACCCTCTGGAAGTCACTCACTGTGACCTCAAGTGCTCCGGCTTTACTCATTCTGTCTGCACCAACCACCCCCTTTTTGTTGTTTCACTTTGAGGCCATTTTGCAAAGTCTGAGAGAAAAGTAGTTACCTATCATTTGTAAAAAAATATTCCCTTGGGATCTGATAACTGATACCAATGACATTTTATTAAGACGTGTTTTCACCCATATCATTTGATACTCAAATCAACTCTATGCAGTAGGTGAGTCAAGTGTTATCATTCAAAGTTATCTTTATTGTCATGTTATGGTTGAGAAATTTAAAGCTGGAAGAGAATTTTTGGCCTTCCAGAATTTTCTGAAGTTCCCAGAGCTGGTACATGATGGATCTGGGACTCGGCCCAAACCTTCAACTCTGCAAAAATACTGTGATTTTTTCCACTAGACTGTTGTTTAGATCAGTGTTCTCCAGAAAAACAGAACCAATAGGACACACACACATACACATATGCATATATCTATACAAATACATATGTGTGCATACATATATGTGTGTAAACATAAATAACATATTATTTAAGAAAGTGCATAACTTTATATGTATACATAAATGTTTACCTATTGCTTGTTATATAAAGAATGCATATAAATAAGGAATTATTATTATCTTGTAGAATTGGCTATGTGATTGTAGGGGTTGGCATGTTCAAAGTGTGTTGGGCAGACATCAGGCTGGGAACTCAGGTAAAAGTTAATGCTGCAGTTTAGAGGCAGAATTTCTCTTCTCTCAGGATCTTGAACTGATTGAATGAGGCTGCCCCACATTGCCAAGGTTAATCTCTATTAACTGCCACCTGATTGTAGAAGTGATGCACATTTGCAAAATACCTTCTCAGCAACACCTAGATTTCTGTTTAACTGGGTTACTGAAGCCTAGCCATGTTGGCACACAACACTAACCATCACAGCTGTATCATAGAAATCCTCCTAGGATAAGTCCCAGTTTTCTTAGTGGGCAGACTTAAGCACCAGCACAGAGGAACAAAAATGAAACTGAAGATGTATGCAGTGGCCCTTGTTCCACAGACAATGTGTCCCCTTGCAGGCAGGGTCTGCATCGGGTTCAGCTTTGGACCCCAGAGCAACACCTGACCATGATAGGCCATCCATGAGTATGTGTGGAAGGAATACATGTAAAACCTCCTTGTTATCTCAGAGATGCTGATCTTGGAATTAATCTTATACAACTAATGGCTTCTAGGTCTTTCTAGTCAGGGGAGGTGTCCTCTGAAGCCTGGCTGCCAAGGATCGAACCACCTACCAGCTGAGCCACCTTAGGCAGGTCACTAATCTCACTCTGACCCATTTTCCTCACTTGGAAGATGGGGGTGATCATTGTAACACTTCAAATTAAATGAGCTAATTCAGGCGAATGGCTCAACTCAGCGCCTGGCACATGGCAACACCCAATCAACATTAGCTCTGATTTGAATTATTATTTACACAGCTGTCCTAAAATCTTTTGCTTTGAGCCCTGCATTCTTCACTCGTAGGGTATCAGGGTTCCACAAATTCTTCTCTCCCAAACACTTCCCACTTTCCTACAGCTAATTGTGCACCCCAGAAGCACGATGGTTAAGTAATGGATAGAATATTACCTTACGGAAGAGAACCCTTCCAAATTAAAATAATCAAGAATAGTCTAGTATATTAGTTTGCTAGGGCTGCCATAGCAAAATACCACACATGGGGTGGTTTAAGTGGTTCAGTATTCTCTCATAGTTCAGTAGGCTAGACGTCCAAGATCGAGGTGTGACAGGGTTGGTTTCTTCTGAGGGCTGTAAGGAGAACCCGCTCCATGTCTCTCTCCTGCTTCAATAGCTGAGCCCCGGGCATTCCTTGGCTTGTAGATGGCTATCTTCTTCCTGTGCTTCAGATTGTCATTGTCTTTTTTCTTTTTTTAAAATATATTTTTATTTATTTTTAGAGAAAAAGGGAGGGAGAGGGAGGGAGAAACATTGATGCGAGAGTAAAACATTGATTGGCTGCCTCCTGTCCTGACGGGGAATCAAACTGAGTAAGCAAATAGAAAGATAGAAGCTGAGAGAGGCAGCTGAGGCTTGGAAGAAGTAAGTGTGAGATGTGGTAAACTGAAAATAGACAGTGGAGGTGGCAGGCCCTTACATGAGCAGGAAAGATTCAGAGCTCTCTAAGATGTGGTCTAACCAGTGAATAACATCTCGATGAAGCAGCTTTATAACTTAAAGATACTTTTTTTTTTAAAGAAAAATGAGAGGGGGCAACTTATTGAGATCTACTCCAGTCTAGGGGTATAAATATCCCAAATCCTAATTAAGAGGGGCATTCGGTTCGATCTCAGACAGCTGACCTGCCCACTCAGGGCACTCAGTTTGGTTTCATCCAGCTGAATTGCCCACTCAGGTCCTCTTTGAGTGCATTGCTTTCCTACAAATAAATCCTTGCCTGCTTTTGCTGTTATTTGTTGTCTCATTTGAATTTATCCCTACAAGCAAGATAAGAACTCGGGGCTCAGAGTATTGTCTCTGGCCAGAGACCCTCTTGTCCACTGCTGACAGAACCAGCAACCTCTCGGTGCCCGGGACTACACCCAACCAACTGAGCCACACCGGTCAGGGCTCAACTTACTTTTAATTAAGTCAAGTATTAAGAGATTTATAAAGTGTAAAACAATGATACTTTTCTCACTATTTTTTAAAAATGTCATTTATATTAACCTGCAATTGGTTTATTATTATTATTTTTTTAAATTAAATCTTTATTGTTCAGATTATTACATTTGTTCCTCTTTTTTGACCCCCATAACTCCCCTCCACCCAGTTCCCACCCCACCCTCCACCCTCACTCCCCACCCACTGTCCTCATCCATAGGTGCATGATTTTTGTCCAGTCTCTTCCCGCATCCCCCTCACCCCTTTCCCCCCCAAGAATAGTCCATTCCCTTTCTATGCCCCTGATTCTATTATACTCACCAGTTCATTCTGTTCATCAGATTATTCACCTGATTTTTAGATTCGCTTGTTGATAGATGTGTATTTGTTGTTCATAATTTGTATCTTTACCTTTTTCTTCTTCTCCCTCTTCTTAAAGGATACCTTTCAGCATTTCATATAATACTGGTTTGGTGGTGATGAACTCTTTTAGCTTTTTATTATCTGTGAAGCTCATTATCTGACCTTCAATTCTGAATGATAGCTTTGCTGGATAAAGTAATCTTGGTTGTAGGTTCTTGGCATTCATCACTTTGAATATTTCTTGCCACTCCCTTCTGGCCTGCAAAGTTTCTGTTGAGAAATCAGCTGACAGTCATATGGGTACTCCCTTGTAGGTAATTGACTTTCTTTCTCTTGCTGCTTTTAAGATTCTCTCTTTGTCTTTTGTGCTTGGCATTTTAATTATGATGTGTCTTAGTGTGGTCCTCTTTGGATTCCTTTTGTTTGGGGTTCTCTGTGCTTCCTGGACTTGTAAGTCTATTTCTTTCACCAGGTAGGGGAAGTTTTCTGTCATTATTTCTTCAAATAGGTTTTCAATATCTTGCTCTCTCTCTTCTTCTGGCACCTCTATAATTCGGATGTTGGTACACTTGAAGCTGTCCCAGAGGCTCCTTACACTATCTTCATATTTTTGGATTCTTTTTTCATTTTGCTTTTCCGGTTGGGTGTTTTTTTGCTTCTTCGTATTTCAAATCGTTGACTTGATTCTTGCAATCCTCTAGTCTGCTGTTGGGAGTCTGTATAATATCCTTCATTTCAGTCCGTGTATGCTTAATTTCCAGTTGGTCGTTTATCATAACATCGAGGGTCTGACTAGATTTTTTGAGAATCTCACTACATTTATCGGTGGTCTCACCCGTCTTTTCGAGAGTCTTACTAAATTTATCGGCGGCTTCGAGACAGTTCTTGAAAAACCTTGAAAGTGTGGTTTTGAACTCTATATCCAGTCGTTTGCTTTCCTCCATTTCTGTCATTTGTGTCCTATTTCTTTGTCTCCACATTTTTTGTGCTTCCCTATGTTGATGGAGTGGCTTTCTGTGCTAGGTGTCTTATAGGGCCCAGTGGCTCAGCCTCCCCAATTACCTGAGGTGGACTCTCTTGGTGCACCCCCTTGTGGGCTGTGTGCACAGTCCTGTTGTAGTTAAGCCTTGATTGTTGTAGGTATCACTGGGAGGAATTGACCAATTGGCTGTGAGAATCAGCTGTGTCTGCAGTGGGAGAACTTCTGTGCTGGAGACACCCCTCCTGGGCAAGACTTGCTTCAGTGGGGCTTTGGTGCTCACTGAGTCACTCTGACCACTGGGTATACTGGCTCCTGGATCTTTCAGGAGGTGCTAATCTAGCCTTTGCCTGAGGCTATTCAGCCAGAGCTCAGCTGTGAAGGAATGCAAGTTGCCCTGGGGCCTTGGACCAGCTGCAAGTTTCTTAGGTAATTTTCAGCTTGCAAAAGCCTCCGTGCACAGCTTGGGCGGGGCAGGATCCCAGTGGATCAATAGGGCAGAGCAAACAGCTATGGCTGATTGTCAGTCCTTCCCTAAGAGGCCCCGAGTCTCAGTGTCCGGGTAATCCCTGCAAGCACCTCTGAGAGAAAGCCGCCCTCGAGATGCGAATGATGCCAGACAGTCTAGCCCAGCCGTGGGCAAACTACGGCCCATGGGCCAGATCCGGCCTGTTTGAAATGAATAAAACTAAGAAAAAAAAAGACCGTACCCTTTTATGTAATGATGTTTACTTTGAATTTATATTAGTTCACACAAACACTCCATCCATGCTTTTGTTCCGGCCCTCCGGTCCAGTTTAAGAACCCATTGTGGCCCTCGAGTCATAAAGTTTGCCCACCCCTGGTCTAGCCTCTCCCTGTATCAGTCAGGGTCCCCAGAGATTCGCCCAGAACTGGAGTTCAGAGCAGTAGGGGGTAGGAGACTCCCTCTCAATTGAAAAAGCCAACCATGTCCTCAGCCGCCAGCCCTTTCCAAGTCCGCCTCCGTACCTGTGCACTTAACTTCTGCACCGCAGCTCCTCTGAGTCTCGGTATGCTTTTCTCTTTCCTTCTAGTTGTAGTATTTCCACTCAGCCAGCCTTCCTGTGATTCTGGATGATTCCCGTTCTGTCTTTTAGTTGTATTCTTGAAGTGGTTTTGTGAGGCAGCAATCTCCGGTGTTTACCTATGCTGCCATCTTGGTTTTTTCTCATTGTCTTTTTTCTATGTGTGTCTGCCTCTTTCTTATAAGGACACCAGTCATAGTGCATTGGGGTCTACCCTAATGACCTCATCTTAATTTGATCATTTATGAAAACCCTATTTCCAAATAAGGTATGATACACAGGTCCTGGGGGCTAGGATTTCCATATCTTTTGGCGAGGGAACAATTAAACCCACAATGACCAGCTTTCATTCTGGGCCCAATGAATTGTAAAATGTGCTTATGCTCTGGCCCTGAGGCAGATGCATACATAGCTGATGACTAAATATACCCAATTCCAAACAACACTGTGGTATGTGCAGAGGAACCCAGCCAGAGGGAAGTTGGGGCCATTGTGCCGTGATTTTAACATGCATTGCTGTTATATTTTAACATACACTGTTGTTATATTGTATATCTCGCAATAAGCACTCATTTAGTTGGCGGTGCTCATGCTGAAAGATGGGTTGAATGAACATTAGAAATAAAAAGCTAGCAGGAAGGCCCAGCACCAGGACATACCATGCTATTAACTTCAGAAGAGAGAGAGCTTGCTGAAATATTAAAGATGATACTAGATAATTTTTAAAAAGCATTACTGCATGGCTGTTGATTTGCATGCTGTGGGAAGTTATTTTCTTCCCATGTTACATTTATTTCTGTGTAAAAAATTAGGTCAGATTACACGGGATCTTCAGGCTGAATCCCTCTGCATAAGCCCACCGCCCTGTACCTGTGACACACTTCATTCTCTCCCAAGCATTTCACAAGCACCCCCTTGTCGATATAGGTTAAATAATGCTTATAGGTGTCATGTAACAAGCTGTCACCCGATGTATACAGGGAGGGTGAGCCTCCCTACTTTTAGGTGCAGTGACTGACAGAGAGAGAGTAGTGAGGGCCTGAATGGAGACCCTCACAGCCCAGGCGGAGACGTTGTTAGGAGAACAATAAAACCCTTTCATGTCTGTACACTGCTGAGTCCAGACAACCTAAGGAACTGGTTCCAAGGCTCTCAGAAAGACAGGAAAACCCTTAATGATGGCAAAAGACAAAATTGCCCGATGTCAATTCATTCCACTGGGTACTCTCCATCCTTGAAGTGGAAATCAAATCCTTGATATTGAGTTGTCCTCAGGTGTCCTCCTTTTGAAAGTGATTGGCCACAAATCCATTGCCTGACTGAAGAAGTCAGTCTTGCTGTTAACTGAAGATCAAGCTGGTCACTAAAGAAAACACGGTCACCACCTGTTGGGAGTAGTTCTCCGTTTTCTGCTCCAGGCACTCCACAGCCTTCCACAAACATCTGTCCTGTCATCACCTCCCTTCAGACAAGATCAGATACTTTTCCTTCCCACTGCGCCTGCCTGGAGGGAACTAATGCTGGCCGGGTTCTGGAAGGAGTCCCTGAGAGGCTCTTGGGAACAGATACAGCTGCTGGCTGGTAATGAGTCAGGGTGCGTCATCTAAGTCTAATCAAGAGCCTGTCAGTTTCTGGAAAGTGTGTGGATGCTCGAGTTCAACAGTGAATGAGGGTAGGAGCCTCTTTTATCTGAGGACTTCCCCTGTGCCAGCACAGCTCTACACACTTCCCACAAGTTACTGCATGAATCAGCACAACATTTCTGTGAGGCTGGTAGGTACTAAAACTATCCCTTTTACAGATAAGAAAACTGAGGCTCAGGGTTGATAAGAAATGTGTCCAGGTACTCTGTAAAAAGTAAGAGAGCCAGAAAGTCAACCTAGTTGGTCCACCTTCAGAGCAAGGTCTTAAAGCAGCACATAAACATCAAAGCATTCACAGACCACTGGGAGAGAGGCCAAGCCAAGAGGAATTATGACATGATAAGGATGGGGTTGAAGGCTACGGGAGCAGAAAGCAAGGAGTCTTGGGGGTGGGGGGTCATGGAAGCATTTTCAGAGTAGAGGTTCCAGCTATGTCCCCGAGACACCCTGTGATGGTTAATTGTATGTGTCTACTTGACTGGGCCATGGGTGCCCAGATATTAGGTCAGACATTATTCTGGTGTTTCTGTTTTGGATGAGATGAACATGAAAAGGGGTAGACGGAGTAAAGCAGATTGCTCTCCCCAGAGTGGTGGGCCTCATCCAATCAGTTGAAGGCATGAATGACACAGAAAGACTGGTTTTCCACTGAGTAAGGGAGAATTTCTCCTGCCTGACTGCCTTTGAACTGGAACATCAGATCTTTTTCTGCCTTTGGATGAGAACTGAAACTTTGGCTCTTCCTGGACCTCATGCCTGCTGGCTCACATGCGTCTCCAGCTTGCCCACTCACTCTGCACATCTTAAGACTTGCCCACCACCATGGTCCCATGAGCCAATCTGCTTATAATAAACCTCTTTAAAATCTCAAAATATCTCTCTCTCTCTCTCTCTCTCTCTCTCTCTCTCTCTCTCTCTCTCTCTTTCCAGAAACACACCCAGTTTCTATTGCCTATTCTGTTTGTCTGGAGAACACTTAATACATACATTCTGCTCTTATCCTATAGTATACCACCCATCAAAGCATCTTATCACTGCCTGTTTAATTGTGTCCCTTCACTGGGCCATAAGCTCAGGGGGGTGGGGGTGGGG